ATCTATGTTCATCTTGAACATCTTTTTGTTGTGATTCGAGCTTTAACTCGGCTTTTGAATCTTATGTGTTGGGTTCTCCATGCCAAGTTTCCTATATTGGGTACTGGGGTGTTGCTCCAGCATTCCTCCCTCAACCTTTTTGGCTTGGGTCATGATTCGGTTTGGCTGATCTTTCTTCAGATCTCTTTGTCCGAGTTCTTGTTCCCGTCGTGCCGAGTTCCATTGCTTTTATCCTTATGCTTATTCTAGCATTTTTGTATATTTGTGTTGATCTGTGTTCCAAATTCAGTTGTTGGAGTCAGGTTAGGCAAGCTCCTTTGGCCTTTTTTATTCCATTTGACAGTAACGCTTTTATATGTGGTGATCTTTGACTGGCGAGACATTCATTGAGAAATGTGTTCCGCCTTTGCATTTTGTGTGCAATGATGTGCTCCCGTTAAACGTCATTGTCAGTTGTTTTGTCTTGTAGAAATGACTTTTTTCCAGTACCTCTTCAGTTTTCGCACCCAAAAGACTTAACCCTTTCTTTCCCTTTTCTTTTCCCCATATTTGCATTTTCCTATGCCTGTGCATTTCTTTCTCTCTCGGTTTCTTCATCTTCTAGCCTTTCTTTGGATTTTGATTATTTGGGACACAACCTTCACTAGTATTTGTCCTTGTGGTTTTTGTCTTGGGAGACACCTTTATCCCACCTTTATCATTTCCACAGTGTCATCTTGTTCTCACCCTCGATTTATACAGGTATTCCTTCAAACATTTCCCCCCTTATTTTTGGCATTTTCATGTTGTTCTTGGTGTTTTGGATGACACTTCTGTTTATGTTAGTGCATTTTTTTGGAAAAGTTGATACCTTTTGGTATTTTAAGGTGCAGGTACTTGATTGGGATTTTTGGGTTTTTCGCAAGTTCCTGTTCTAGTATTTTTCTGGGTAGCTTTGCTTAGTGTCTTCCTCCCCCCAAACTTCCTTCAAACATTTGAGAGGCTTCAAAAAATTAGTGGAGATGTATGAGTGAGAGAGGTGGAGCGTTGCATATGCGAAGCCATGGCTGTGGTGATGAAGCCGAGGATGATGAGGCCACCCTCATATCCAGGTTTCCTATCGGGGCCAAGTTTTGGATTGATCATACTAAGGAGGAAAAGTAGGATATGCTTTTTTGTGGGTATTGAAGCGGTGGTAGCAGAAGAAGATCCGTTTTGCGTCAACTGTTGCATACACGACAAGTATACCGGTCGTACAAGTAATAAAGAAATGAATAGAGTTATCGTTCCCACGAGGATTAAGTATATAAATCATTATTCTCATTATTCCCCTTAATTTGGACAATTTAGAAGGTTTTAGGAAGTGATTTTCAATATTGAAATGAAATAAAAGACAATTGCAAGTAAGAACAACTGCAGGTAAGAACAACTGCAGGACAAGGATTCAGAGAATTAAAAGCTGTATATTTGAAATCAATAACAAAACTGTAGCTAGGGTTTTATTTCACCTTCGATCTTCCTTAAGTAAATTAATTCAATTCATTAATATTTTATCTCAATTGATTCAAATAATTCATCATCTAATATTTAATTGGTTAAATCCTAATTTCTTAGTTCTTTAACCCAATTAGAATCCTAATGTCTCAGAGACTTAAACTTTAAGCGCGAAGAATTACGAAGTTCGCAATTCGTAAAATCCCATGTCTAGATCATGTAAGAAATGATATTTTATCCCTGTTAAGACTAAGATTCCAATATGTCTATTGTGAACCCTAACCCTCTTTATTCTTATATGAGTGATCAAATCATAAAAGAATTTTAAAAAGGAATTTGAGGTAAACACAAACAATTAGAGACAATTAATTAATGAACGAATTAACCCAAAAGAAGGATTCACGTCGGATCCATATCCCTAACTACACAAGAAAACTTAGCCAGACATATCTGACTTAAATAAAATAAAGAAAGAAAAAAAAAGATGAAGTCATGAAGATAAGTAAGAAGATGATCTTCAAGGTTGCTTAATCTTCAATTCTCTTCGTCTATCCAATTCTCTGAAACTCTGAAATTCCTAGCAATCTCCAAGTTATTTATGCTCCCAATTGTCTCCCTTTTTCATGTTTCCTAATTGTTCTCTTCATATCCCTCCAAAGATCATCATTAAATGTTCTTTAGAACCCCTTCAAATATAATTAAAATTCAACTTTAAACAGGATCACATGTCTCAGGCGCTAGTGGCGCAGTTCTGGCGCTGCTAGTGCTAGGAGACTGAAACTAACTTATGCTCTGGTGCTCTTAGCGCCGTGTTCGCTTTAGTAGGGGAAAAACTTGAAATGCTGGCGCTCTTAGTGTCAATCTCACATTAGTGGTGCGAAGCGACAGAGGTTTTTTGATGTAATTGGCACTGGTAGCGCCACTTTGGCGCTACTAGCACGATAAAACAAAAAGTGAATTGCATGTTGGCACTTCTAATGCCAACCTGGAGCTTCTAATGCCAATCTGGCGCTGATAGCGCAGTTGGACCGGAGCTTGATTAGTCTCTTAACTTGAGTTCTCTAACTTGTCTTTCTTTCAAAGGCCAAAATTCCTACATATTAAGTTACCCATCAAAATTTTGGATGAGTCTTCTAGATCATCCATCGGATTTATCTTTTCGTTTATTTGACCTTGGCTCTCATTGTTTTAGGTCATTCAAATGGAGTCGACCCGACTCTATAATTGCAACTCAAAATTTTGAAGGAATCTTTATATATATAATTTTAAAAGGGGACGGTTATACTTACCACCAGGTAAGTTTACCACCCTTACCACCAATATTATCACCGTCGGATCAGAATTAAATCCAACGATCTATAATTATCCCATATAATCCTAATTTTTTCTCCCACATTCCCTCTTTGTCTTTCTCTCTCTACGTTTCCATACCTTCTCTCGTTCGGTTATCCTCGCTGCACGTCGATTTATTCAACAGGTTTCCCTTCTTATTCTCGCTCTTTCTAATTTAATTGTTTATTTGTATGTCTCTGTATGCTTTAATTCTGATTCTTCGGTTCTCCATTAAAAACAAAAGAAAAATTAACAAAAATTTAAAATTTTGAGGATTGCATTGCATCGTTACCTCGCTGCACTCTCATCATTCTCTCTTTCCTTGATTCAACTATCATAGGGTTCTTTTTCCAGCACTCTCATCGTTACCTCGCTGCACCTCTCTCGTTTTTCTTTTTCCATTTTAATGTTCTTTTTTTGTACTGTAAATGTTTGGAAGAATTTGGTGCCAATTTTTTACTCTAGGGTTCTTTTTTCATTTTATTTTTTATTTGCTCAATTTTATCTAATTACTGTGAATATGCTAATGTTTGTTTTATGATGTTGTTACTCCAAGGCAATGGAAGAGGATTGAGATTGGGACCTTAGAAGAAAGAGTAGCCAAAAAGATATAAGAAACGAAGAAGGAGAAAGACAAAAAAAAGAATAGAAGAAAAAGGAAAGACCAAAAAAGTCAAGGGGTAATATATCAAAATCTGGAGCATTTATCGGCTGCATGTTTTCTGCTATTCGGATTTGGTCATAATTCTGCAGTTGTTGAGCTTTATAACTTGTAAAAAAGTTGGTTCTGCCTCTTGCAATTCACACTTTCATTACACAATGTACATCCCTCTAGAGACTATGGCCAAGCTACTGCTAAGGGGTGCTCAATTTGACATTGGGGATGAATAGACCTCCAACAAAGTGTGGAAGAGGTAATGGGATATTTCTCCTCAGAAAACCAGCTTGCTCATTGTGCAGATAGTATAAGATTTTGCAATTTTTATCCTTTTCATTTTTTTTCTTTTGCACCTTATTATCATTCCAGTGTATGCGAGAGACTGAGAACGTGAGAAGAGTGAGTTCAATTAGATTAAGAGAACCCTTTTGGGAATTATGAAGCAAGGATTATGTATGGTGTTTTGTCATTCAAGAGATTAATTATTCAAGAGATTAATTATTTCTATAGCTGAATGTTTTGTCATTCTTCTGTTTATTCATAACATCCCATTATCAAGAACTCTCACACCAAACAAAGCCTCATATTTTCCCATTCAGTAGCAAACTAGTGATCATGCAGTGAAAGATCTTCTGTTCAAAGTGACTTAACCATCAATTTACTAGGTCTCAAATTGACTAGATTAATTGAAACATTGTCAAACTTTTTAGTCGAGTTAGCCATTTCAAATAATTTTTTTTCGGATGAACCAAGCTAATCCGTTTCTAAAAAATAGATTATAATTGAGATACCTACTTTTTTATTTAGTTGTTCTAATCAGGATGAGTTTCAAACGTTAGCAGCACTAGATTATTAGAATCATTGCTGGACAATCTCTACTTGATCTAGATTATTAGAATAAAATAGGAGTATTAGAATTATATTCTGTATCGTATCACAACATCACAGTCCGCTAAGTTAAAATGTACTCTTGTCTCTTTTTTCCTTTTCGTCTTTTTCATATGATTCAGGTCAAAGGATGTTTCTATCTAAAAAATATAAAAGATATGGAAAAACAAGTTAATAAGTTCCACATCATTAGTTAATAGGCATTACTGTTAGCTTTCCTTAAAGTAGTGAATAATTTTGTTAATGGACTTAAGTGTACGCAGCACTATTTCTTGCTCTGTTTCTTCACATGCTGAAGCTACAAATCCACACAGAACTAACAGTCAGTTCTAGAAGCAAGCTGGATCAGATGGACTGGTTCATTGAGATCATTATACGGATACAAGCTAAATTATCCTCTCATCCATCCTTCTCATCATTATCCTCTGCAGGTGGCTCATTGAGATCAAATAATGGCCTTCCTCGAGAACTCATCTCATATGCATACAGATACAAGCTAAATTCTGAATAAAACGTTGAACAGACACGTTGTTTCTATTCTTTTTAAGGAACAATATCTAATAGCTTCAGTAATTAAGAAGAATTGTAAGTGCCAACAGCAACTAGAATCTAAAACCAAGAGGCAATTGAAAGGTCAAACAAATGTGCATCATTGAGCAGAAACAGAACCAACACCAACCAAATGACTACTCAAGTCATGCAAGAAATTAAACCCATCGACCAGAAAATCAATACTATAGAAATTGAAGCCTGCAAGTTATTTCAGGTGTTATATTAAAACCAACATGACTAAAACTAACATAATTCCACAAACATCTTAATTTATGAAAAACAAAATCTGATTGAAACTAAACTGAATTTAGATGTATTTCTTTGCATGTGCGCTTATTATGTCCTTTTTTTTTACAAGTTCCACAAATATTAGTATGCTTTGATGCTTCTTCAATGCCGCTACGAATCCTCCGTCCCTGTGAAGTGTTATGGGAGTCCCTTTTTCGCCCTTTCGTTTGCGAAACACAGGGATCCTTCAAGTTCATCATAGAAGACTCTTCAGAATTATGACCCAAGTATTGTAAGTCAGAATCGCCAACATCACTACTCTCCTCAGATGTAACAATTTTTTTTGCAGCAATAGAGAGAGAATCAATACTATCACAAATAAATCGAAATGCTTCACTAGACTTATATGCAAGCTCATCAAGTGTAGAATATCTAGAGCGTAGGTGAAAGCTGCGAAAGAGTCTATCTCCATCAGTAACAGACATGTCCTTGTTTGTTCTTAGTATAAGATTTCCTTCCTTGCGCCAGCGATACAAGATGAAGTGTTCAGGGAGTTGCTCAACATTTTCAATCAAAAAAATGGCAAGAACATGTCGGCATAGGATTCCCATGAAGTCAAAATAAAGGCAAGAACAATTAGCTTCTTTATTTTCCAAATTCATCTCAACTGTTGCAAAATCTTCTATGTCTTTCTTATTAAAAACTCGGTACGTAACACACCCGCCATCATTTCTAAGTTTTTCCTTAGATAACCGTAAACTAAAAGAAAGCTCTTCACTGAACTTTAAAAAAATTGCACGGGTATATACTTTAGCTGCATGCTCCTCCAATGGCATATTAAATGTCAAAAGTCTTTCTTTATGCTTAGATTCAAAGTCTTCTTTTTTGAATGACTCATAGCGAGCATCTACTGCTTGATTATATTTCTCCACAAATTCCTTCAATGTTGTTCCAGATGTAACAAATCCATCAAAGAATGAATTTATACTTTCACTGCGCTGAGTAGTGTTCATACCAGCAAAGAAAGTAGATCTATTAAAGATTGGTACCCATGACGATCTAATAGAGTAAAGTACATGCAGCCACTCATTTCCAACAAGACCATACTGAACAAGAAGATTTTTCCATCTTTCTTCAAACTCTTGAGTGCTCTTAGAGCTCCATATACACCCATTTAAATGCTTCTTAAATGATGCTTGTTCATGGTAAACATGAGATAACTTCTCTGGAAACTTTTTCATGATATGCCACAAACAAAATCGATGCTTGGTCTTTGGGAAAACTTTGGAGACTGCATTGCTAATCGCCATGTCCTGGAAATTCAACGTCATGAGTAAGTGTACAGTTACTAATAAATAATCATATTTGAGATAATATATAAAACATCATAATAGAGTTTGTCAAATTGATTATACCTGGTCTGTAATTACAGCAACTGGATATTTCCCATTCATTGCTCGTAGCCATTCCTCAAATAGCCATACAAAAGTATCCTCGGTTTCATCATGTAATAGAGCACATCCGAGTAGAAGCGATTTACACCGACAAATGGTCCAAATGGCATAGAATACTTATTAGTCCTATATGTCGTGTCAAATGTTATCACATCCCCAAATAGCTCATAGGCATGTCTAGATCTTGCATCAATCCAGAAGAAGCTCATCATACGATCATCACCATCACACTTGATGGAATAAAAAAAATCTGGATTCAGTGATTGTTGTTTAATACAATAATGTAGCACGCCTTGTGCATCTCCATCATCATATATCCCTGTCCTTATATTTTTCATATGATTATAACAATCTCTACTATCAAACCCCAAATCATGACTATTTAATATGGTGGCTACCTTTCCAATAGGCAAACCCGCCTGGTTGAATTTTTCTAGCAAACATTTTGCAGCATCAGGCATTCTTTTGTGTGATCTCAAATACGAAACACTTTTTGGAGAAAGCAACTCATGATTATGGTTGTCTATGAAATATGTGATTCTCCACATATTTGTTTTTTTATTTATAGAAGCCTTGAGACAAGCTTGGCATCCTATACGTGATGATGATGTTCTCCTTGATTTCGTCTGATCCTTCTTTATCTCATTTTCTTCTTTTTTCTTTTGTGGATGACCCTCTCTAATACATGTTAGCTTTACGTAGTCCTCCTTGGATGTTCGTCCCCGGATTCCAAAACCTTTTATCCTACCAAATGCTGTATATAATTCTACTACATCCTTTCGTTCAGGAAATTCCATTCCAACCTCAATGGAAACATTAGTACTCTTTGTCGGTGACAATGGAATGACATTCGACATATCATTAAGCAAATCATTTGATATGTCATCTTCCATTTCATCAGGCATGTCATTTCCCACTCCATCATATTCCATTTCATTTGACAGGCAGTCATCACTGAAGTCAATACAATCGAATGGATCATCTTCCATATTGACCTTCATTGAAATAACATGTAAATATTAAAGAATAAAAATTATAGTATTATAAAAACAAAAATACAGCAATGGATTCTATATACAACATATATTAACATATACATTGAATATTATATAAAATTTTATTTATTAATTGTAAAAAAAAAATCATAATAAACATGTATAAAGGAATTCGAGGGAAGATGATCAGATTAACAGAAATAATAGTCACGGATTACCAAAAAAAATGAATTCACAAGACCCTTCCACCAGTGTTATGAAGAGCAAGCAATGAACGGAATAACTTTTGGCCAATTGTTTAGCATCCAATTCAGCTTGAACTTTTGGCCAATTGTTCCTGAATAACTTTTGGCCAATTAACAGAATAATAGTCATAACTCAAACTTTTTTTTCTCAACCTGAATTAGCATCCAATTTAACTCAAACTTACCTAAGAAAAAACAGATGCAGGATCGAAAGTTTGAGGGTACCATATAAATCAAAACAATATCATCAAATAAACAAATAAACAATTAAGAAAGAAAGAGCAATAATGCAATGCAATCCTCATAATTTTATTTTTTGTTAATTTTTCTTTTGTTTTTGATGGAGAATCGAAGAATAAGAATTAAAGTATACAGAGACATACAAATAAACAATTAAGAAAGAAAGAGCAACGATGCAATGCAATCCTTATAATTTTATGACTTACAAATAAACAATTAAGAAAGAAAGAGCAACGATGCAATGCAATCCGCATAATTTTATTTTTTGTTAATTTTTCTTTTGTTTTTAATGGAAAAAGAAAAACGAGAGAGGTGCAGCGAGGTAACGATGAGAGTGCTGGAAAAAGAACCCTATGATAGTTGAATCAAGGAAAGAGAGAATGATGAGAGTGCAGCGAGGTAACGATGCAATGCAATCCTCAAAATTTTAATTTTTTGTTAATTTTTCTTTTGTTTTTAATGCAGAACCGAAGAATCAGAATTAAAGCATACAGAGACATACAAATTAACAATTAAATTAGAAAGAGCGAGAATGAGAAGGGAAACCTGTTGAATAAATCGACGTGCAGCGAGGATAACCGAACGAGAGAAGGTATGGAAACGTAGAGAGAGAAAGACAAAGAGGGAATGTGGGAGAAAAAATTAGGATTATATGGGATAATTATAGATCGTTGGATTTAATTCTGATCCGACGGTGATAATATTGGTGGTAAGGGTGGTAAACTTACCTGGTGGTAAGTATAACCGTCCCCATTTTAAAAAAGTATGTTTATTCTTATAGTTTAATTAAGTTTTTTAATTAATCCTATTAATCATAAAATTTAAAATAAAGTTTCAAATACTTGTAACAAACTAACATCAAGCCACCGGATTTGCAAGTTGCACGTAATTTTTAATATTCATTAACAAAAACATAGCATCAGCTCAATAAAAACTTATTTACAAAGTATTAAAAAAACCTATATTTATTCATTAAAGTTTTCAATTTTATGTAACTTAAATGAAATAAAATTATGTATGCACAATACTTTCACTGTTTTCTTTTTTAATTATAATTAAGGTTACCAACACTTGTACTTTTTTTTTTCGGTGATTACACTTTTGTTTTGGTAAGCCGGTGATTACACTTTTACTATTTCATGCTGCTTACAAAAGGCGTGGATCAGTATGTCATAATTGTGTTATTTTAAATAAAATAGTAGTATTTTATTTAATATTTAAATTAAAAAAATCTCTCAATAACTCTCCACTCTTTCCCATCATGATTTTATTGTTTTTCTCACCTTAAAATATAATAATTTTAATTAAGATAATACAATTTTATATTTTTTAAAAAGTCAAATATTTTTCCCTTAAATAATTTTGTTTTAGAAATATCTAATGAAAACGTGAATCACGAAGGAATTTTAACCAGAGCTATTTTTTTGGACACCATCCGCTTGCTAATTATATTTTTAATTATTAAAGTTTGAACTTTATTATTTTACTATCACGTAAATCAATAAATTTTAGTAAATAAAAATAATTTTAAGCTTATAATTATAATATCAAGTGTAAATTTAACCAATATAAATATAGAATTCACTTTTTCTGCAGTTATTACAGATAAGTTATCTAGTAAGCCTAATACAACATCATTTTGGAACAGAAATCATGATATTTTTGTAATTTTAATTTATTTCAGGATTATTACAGTCTTTATAATTATAATTATTTAATTTTTCAATCCCAAAACGACGTCATTTTGAAAGTAGATACAAATAACTTATCTGCAGTAAATACAGAAATATTATTCTGATAAATATATTTCTATTCACACTAATTTATTTTATATTAATTATGTCAATTATATAAATAAAATGTTAGGATTGAGTTTATAGAGAGAAATTATATTTTCATGGTAAAAATACTACATTTCTTTTGTATTTGATTTGATTAAAAAATAAAAAAGACATGTTGAATTTTTTGATTTTATCATTTTAAGAAAAAAGTTAATATAAAAATTTTAGAGTTCAAAATTAGGGCAACCTGAACCATCCTCTTGTTTGCCTCTCCTTCCTTTCACCCTCTCTGTGGCGCTGAAGCTAAAGCTGAAGGGTTCTTCACTCTCCATTTGGTATTTAACTCAACTCACTCTCTACTACTAAATGCTGCTTTTTCATCAATTTCACTCCCTTCGTTTATTGGGTATGTATATCATATGCTTTCTCCATTTTTCTCTCTCTTCGTTTTTGTGCAGCAACAATTTCGACGCAATCCCCATTCTCCTATTTCTATATATTATTTGTTTTCCAATTCATAATCGTCCCAATATTCCCTCAAAATGTGTTTTTTCTTATAGTTTTTTTTTTTTTTTTGAATTTAAATGATTTTTTTTCCAGCAATGAAGGACTTATTTTAATCGGTTGCACTTAACTCTCGTTTATTGAAACTAAGAACGGGAACAATTGGTCTATATCTTTGTTAAGAAAATGTAAGTCAACAACAATATGTATTCCTTCAAGGTTTAATTGAATTATTACGAATCTGAAATCTAGAAGCTTTATTTTTTTCTTGTTCAACTTTTTTTTTTTCTTATGATTTCTATATGCTTAGTATTATGCAGTGTTTTCTTTTTCTTTTTCTTCACCCTTCTAACCCTATGAATATTGTTTGAGTTGCTTTTAATAGCATTTTGTAGAAGGTATTCTTTACTTTATTATTTTTTGTAAATTTTTTTCTATTTTTATTGATTATTTTGCAATTTTGCAATTTTTCGTATTTATTATTTATTTACTTTTATTATATGGGTTCATCCAACCCCAACTAGTTTGTGATATGTTAGTTTTTGTTGTTGTATTCATTGTGATTTCTTATTTTTACTTAGGTTCTGATTAGTGGATGTTGTGTCATGAAACAGATTGATCAAAATGTACACTTAGAGGAAGAAAATCCACAAGGATAAGGATGCTGAATTTGAAGAGACTGTTGCACAGGTTATTATTGCCATCTCTGTTTTGGGAGAATAAGCCTATTTTTATGAACTCACTACTATACTCTTTATTGAAACTCAGCAATTTGATTGATGCCTGTGCAGTACTTATTTGACTTTGGAGAATACCAATCAGGATCTGAAAAGTGACTTGAAAGATCTCTATATCAATCAAACAATGTAAGGGTGTTATGAATGATGAATTGATTTCGCTTAACTCTCGTTTATTGAAACTAAGAACGGAAAATATTTGCTCTGTATCTTTGTTAAGAAAATGTAAGTCAGCATCAATTTGTTTCCTTCAAGGTTTAATTGAATAATGTTCCTCAAAATTCTGAGATTGGTGGTGTTTCTGTTTTTGTTGTTTTTTATTTTGTTTTGTTTTTCTTATAATAGGTATTAATACTTAATACTGTCTTTTGAAATTGTTTATTTCTCATGCAACCTGGAACTATAAAATTTTTCACCTCTGTATTTTGGTCATCTAAGTGGCTGTATTGTTTGTTGGGTATTTTTTTTTATTTTCCTTTAGTTGTGCTCCGCAAAAATAGAAAAAGCACTCCATACTTATGTCATACTTTTCTATGTTGAGGACTAGATGATTGATGATTCTGTAGTGTATATTTCAAAACCATTAAAAGGTTCATATTTAAATTATGGGATTTTTCATTTTTAGGAACCTTGTATTTCTTTGATCACTTTAAAAAAGTTAGATCTATGTCTAAGAGATTTACCTTTTTTTACTTTCCATTACATATTTTTCTACATTGCCTTTAAACCATTTCACTGATCCCATTATTCTTGCATGTAAACTGCTGTCACATGTGACACATAATTGCAAGATTCACTTTCAGAAAACATGTTATTAATCACTCCCAAGCCACCGTAAGAAAAAAAAAAAGTGATGGAACATGGCATTGAAACTTAGGAAGCTTGAAAGAATCTGCTATTAACCCCGGTCCTGTACAGATGCAAATCAGATGCACTGATAACAATAATCTCAGTGTTGGCTGCTACAAAAAGAACATCCCCTTCAGTGACTTGATGTTCTTTTAGAGATTCTGAATTCATCATTCCATCACCAACTGTGACCAAAAATATAGAAGGGCCTGGAACTGCAGGGAACACCACTTTTTCCCCTTGAGGAAGAATACAGCAATCAATCTCAAATTCCTCAAACGGTGGAAGGTATCTATTTACATATGGATTTAGAGGAACTCCTCTCAGTATCTCTGGAGAACCCTGCAAGTGTAAACAGATATAAGAAAATTGACATCAAATACCAAGTCCTGCTTATTCATACCACTTATACTATACCAGAATTTTTCCCTTCAAAAGAATATCATTGTACAATTACAGAAAATCCTTGATGGGTATTATCATACATAGAATAGGTGAAAATATATTTATATTTGTATCTAATGCAAAATATAAAAACTGCACAATCTCTGCATATGCTGTTAGAAATTATTTTTTTTTGTGACTTACCATTAATTATTAATTTTGTTTTATAAAATATTGGCCGATAATATTGTCGGTTAATTTCCATGAAACAAGTAGGACATGGTAAAGTGTGACTAAAGAGTATAGGCTATTAATAATTTCTGCATATGCATCAGCAAGTGACTAGGAGTAAATTATGGCATGCATGGTTTAACAAGTCATCATATTACTATACACAATTTGACATACATCCTATAAGATATAACCATAGCAAACAGCAAATTTCTGTAAGGAAAATGAATAATGAACTGGAAAACTACAGTAACAGTCTTGATTTATCATTTACCTGTTTATATGTGAGCATGGAACAAAGAGTTTGAACATCTCTGTGTTTAGGAGTAAGCCCAGCTCGCACAACATTGTCTGAAGTTGCCATGCATTCAATGCACTCACCACAAATATATGCATGCGGTTCATTTGCCCCAAGGAACAAGGCTTCACCTGGAGTGAGTTTTACATGGTTAAGAAAGAAGGACGCTATGACACCAACATCACCTGGGTATTGCTTTTCCAACCTCAGCACCAGCTGCTCCTTATCTGTCAACTGCCTCACCTAATGCAAAATGAGAACATTATAGTATTCATTAATCACATGGTAACACATGTACATTAACAAAGAAATATAACATAAACTATTGTTTCTTAGCAACTTATTAAGAATAATGCATCCGAATTTTGAAATATGACCCCAGCTGAATATTAAAGCTGCCACAATATGCTATATCCAATATACAATTCAAAATGTTCCTTATTTTAGGAGTTTGGAGGGGAAGGAAAGGAAAGGAATTCAAGGGAGAGGGAAAGGAAAGGAATTCAAGGGAGAGGGAGGGGAAAAAAGGGAAGGAAAATAAATGGTATTCTCTTCCTTTGTTTGGAAGTTAAAACCTCCCAAATTTGGAGAACTTTAATTTTAAGAACAAGAAGTGTTTTGGAGGGTTTTATAAAAATCCATAAATCCTTCTTCTTACTTTTTTAAACTCACAAACAAGAGAAGGGATTAATAAAACCCTTCCCTTCCTTTCCTTTCCTTCCTAAAACTAACTCCCAAACAAGCCCTAAGTGTAGTAAGATGGTCCAAATGTGCAACTAGCAAGGTGGTTGATTGTTACTTTACATATCAGCTTAAGAATCTTGATACGAAAAACCAGTGTCTTTATAAGAGATAAGTATTAGTATTAATGGTGTTTTTTCCGTGAGGGAGGATATTTGGAATAGGCTTCTTTAATGTCTTTATTTGAATATATATATATATAATATTCAAATAACTACATGGGAGAAAACTAATAAAATGCACGAAACAATTTTTGAAGAAAAGCAAAAAAAGTTACTTGTTAAGATATAAATCAACCTGTCTTTCCTTATGCAGACGAGTTCTCAATCTGTCTACTACACCAGTTACTCTCTCTTTACTTGCTGACATGAGATCAGTGAAAACAGTCTTCAATAAAGGTTTTATCTTCTCTTCACCATCCTGATCAGTGGTTTGTAAGATTGATTTAACATTTTCAACACCAACCAGTTCGACAATCTCAGGGTTAATAAGCACGGCCTTTAGCTCCTGAATAAAACCAGAGAAGATTTCTAACTTGCTCCAGGTGAATAACATTTATAATAAAAGGCATCAAACTTTACTTTCTGAACTGTTAAAAAAAAAACACTTTGCAGGTTTCATTTATTAAGTCAAACATTATTATTTGATCTTTTCACATGTTGCTCTCAATTAACTGTTTGTTGCATCATAAAGGAGCTTGTGAACAAGGGAACATAGGTGATGGATGCATCAACGAAAAAGTCAAGTCAAAAGAAATTGTTTCAGTCACATCATATATTATGGAGTTATACCTAACAAGTGGACAGTTATTTTCCAATCACCTAAAATCTGAACTTCATAAATACATACCAAAATGAAAATTAACAGAAAATGGTTTGAACACACCAAACAGTCAATGACTTGTCCTTAACACCAAACTCCTGGGCTATAATTTATAACATCAATTTCTAGAACTGTAAATTAGAAAGATAACACAAAAAACTTTCTGAATAAAAGTAAAGATTTGTCCTTAACACTGTCAAAGAAAAATTAAAAATTCCCTTAATAAAAGTACAAAAGCTATTCATATATCACACGTATACACTCGCAGAAAAATAAATATGAATGTTATTTGTATACTATTTTCATTATGCTTAATTACACTATTTCCTTTTTAAGTAATAAAGTAAAATAAAAACATATATACAGTGCAACACATTTATTTTTTCTCAAAACAAAAATGGGTAAAACGTGTAAGGAACACTGTAAAGAAACATTAACAAAAGATTCCACAAAATAGTACCTTAAGAGGGACAAAGTCACATAGAGCCTCGAACTCTGTCACAGCCAGAGCCATCTCTGGTTTATGATTGCCATCTTTATAAATATCAGGGTGCAACTTATGCAAAGTTCTTGCCAATTCCTTATCAGGGTGAGCCTGTATAGACAAGGCCTTGGCCACTGAGAGAACCTTAACACACAAAAAAAACTCACAAAATTAAATCTTAACTAACTTCTATTTATTAATAAAGAACTAATTCAACTCAAAAATTTAAACTGCAAAGTGAAAAGTGAAGGTAGATAAATGATTTTATATTATTTTTCTAACATGCCATTTTACATAAAAATCTGTTGGCTTAAAGAAGAATAATATTAGCTAATTCTTGATCAAAAGTTTATATGCTAAAAAATTTCACAATATATATTAAATAATGGGTTTGGTGTTTGTCATTTTAAATGACATAAGTTATGTCATTTTAGGAGAGAGATAGACACAGAAAAACGAAAATCATGAGAGAGAGTGAGTGATTTTTTTTAATTTAAAATTCAAATTTTCTGTGTCTGTATCTCTCTTAAAATGAGATAACTTTCTGTCATTTAAAATGACAAACACTTTTCCCTTAGATAATTAATAGAAGATGAATTAAACTCTAGACACTTGATCATATACTATAATATTATCTCATATAACCAACTCTCCCAAAAATTTAACGCGTTATATCTTATTTTCTAATATTGACCCACAAAAAAAAAAAAAAAAAAGCATAGGATCATATTCATATCATACCTTGAACAAGAAAGGGAGATCACCACCCCACTTGTCCAAAACCTTTTGTCCAAGCACGCTAGGATTCTCCAAAAGCCACGACTTAAGGGTCACTCTTTCTGAACCATCAAAGACAAGGAAAGAGGGTCCTGATTCATGGGTTCCCATCCAAAATTCTGCATAAGGCTCATTCAGATCTAACTGGGACCCAGAATTCATGGAAAAGAGCTTGGCAACAAGGGAATCACTGCATGGTTGACCCCAATCATAGTTCTTAACGGAGCAATGAAGCCTCTGAAGCTTGTTCTTCCCATGTTGTTGTTGTTGTTTGGACTTCATTGCAGGACCTGAAGCTGCTTCCATATATATATGGATGGCAGTGGCAACGTTGAGAGTATGTTTTGGAATTCTTGTAGATGTAAGAGAAAGAGAATGGAGTTATGGATTTGTAGTAGTACTGGTCATTGGTTTATTTGCGTGTTTTTGAAGCGTTTTGAATGTGGAAAACGTAGCAGAAAAATAAAGAGAGAGAAAGGGTGGAAAGTTTCAACTTTCTTGAAAAAACAAGGCAAAGTTGGATAGAAAAATTAAAGGGGAAATCTTTTTCTAATGTCCATGTAGATAAATTATCTTATGTTAATGAAATAAAATAATAAAAAGGACCATGAATGATCGGAGAGAAAAAGAATAAAAGTAAAATTCACCTTTATTATGTGTGTATAGAAAGATGAATTATCTTATATTGAATGAGATAAATATAATCCAGAATAGAGATACCGATATGATTTGTATGGAACAACTTGTCTTCAGCACGAATCTTCTCCTCACTTTTCTAGGCAAAGTGCATGCGATATTTCCAATCCAAGACACAAGGGGCGTTTTGTACGTTGCATGCAAAGCTCTTTGGCTAATTGGTTATAAGTATTTCCAAAAGTATTAATATTAGTGCGAATTATGATAACGTTATACTTAAAAAATATTAAATAAAGGCGAGAGACGAGAGTGAATCTGAAAATTTCACATATTCATTTTTAGATTAACGGCCACATTTAATGAACACTTCCTAAAACGAAAAAGTAGAAATTGTAACGTCAATTATGATCTAAAAATGAAGGTTGAGATCTACTATGATCATGTGAAATTTTCACGTGAGATAATTCACCATAGTCAGTTAGCATATACTTCTTTACTAAAATAGAAAAAAAATGAAACTTAAGTGAAAATGGGTAAAATCAGTTATATTATTTTGGAGAAGGATCCGTTTACCATTTTTTTTTTTTACAAATTACGCTAAATATAACCGGTCATATACTCTTGATTAGTGTATAATCGGTCAGACATAGTATAATTTGTAAACAAAAAATTTGTAAATATAATTTTCTCATATAATTTTTTTTAAATAAAATAAAGGATGCACTGAGTCTTCAGTTTCCTTAATAAGACCCTTGGAATAAACTAAATACAACCTTATTAGGAGTCATTTGAGAGAATTTCCAGGTGCATATATACATTAAGGTAAAGGAAAATAAAACAGTAACAGCTAATTTATGTCTAGATCATTGATATCCTTTCGAATAACCTCGTATCACATGAAATGATTGATTCTCTTAAAATTTTGGATTAAAATGTGACATTGAGCTTATTTATTAAATAAATTGCCATTTAGCCCATTATTGATGCTTCTAGTTACACCTCTCCTTGACACGTACGTCTAATAGATATCAAATTAGACAATTACTTTTATCTCCTAAAACAATAATAGAAAATTTATGACTAATGATTTTTTTTTAAGTTAACTTTGTTCTCCATATAATCGTGTAGAGTTTTTTAAAAACATGATACATGTACATATGATATGGTCTTTATATTATAATAATTGATATTGATTGATTTTGCGGCGATGAAAGCATGGGAAATAAGATAATTGTATGGAGAAATTTTTTTCCCTAATAGTGACTCATAGTCATAGCATAATGGATTTCACCTTTAATTTTTTTTTCTCTTCACTATTTTGCAGGCCTCATTTACTCATGAAAAAAGTTTTCTCCTTTAAAAGGAGAAAATGTTTTCTCTAATTGTATTTAAAAAAAAGAAGAGATAATATCATTTGGAAGCTGAATCGGATGCCAATAAAAAAAAAAGTTTGAGAAAGACTAAACAAGATAGGGACAGGCACTCCTGATGACGAGGGCACGTGATACGTTCAAAAAGTATGGACCCTTTATCTTGTGCTGCAAAATGATAGATGCTGATGAACAAAATTTCTCAAATTCTTCTTAAAAAATGAGGGATAGACAAACTTTTATTCAAAAAATTTGACAAAATTTAAAAAATTTCAGTTTGTCCATTTCCTGTTATGACAGAGATTTATGATCCTTCTTTGCATCAGATCATTTTACACGGGTGTTGTAAGACTAATAAGTCTTACACCACATTTTCAACTGTTATAATTTAGGAAGTCATATGAATGAATTAATATTAATTAATTATTAATTACACTATAAATATCAACTGATGATTTTCGTCCATCAACGATTGAGATGTGATGTAAGACTTGTTAGTCTTACACTAGTGTAAAAAGAACCTGCTCCTACCTCTTTTTTACATCTATCTTAATTTAGTTTTTTTTATATATACGAAGAAAAGATAAAAAATAAAAAACATTTTACCAAAAAAAAAAGGGAAAACAATCAACTGTCACCCCTAACCAGAGGAGTGACTGAAGAGTCCCCAACAAATTTATTGTTAAATTGTCATTGTTGAGACATAGAACATGTATATTATACATTTTATTTGTTCTTATTTAAATTCAGTACATGCCATTCAAAGCAATTATATAAAGGTTATGAAAATTGTCAAATAGTTATAATAATTATGAAAAATAAAATAAAATTATTTTAACTAAATCATTTTTTTAAAATATTATTTTACTTAGTAAAAATATCAAGAGTTAAAAGTAATCAAGAGATAAAGAGTTTGTTCAGATGGACTTCCCAAAAAAGTGTTTTTTTATGCCTTACTTATTTTAATAGTATTTTTTATAAAAGTTAAAGTTATTTAAATTTTTGAAAAAAATATTTGGCTTTTAACTTTTATTTTTTTTAGAAGCTAAAATTTTTAGCTATAAAAAAAAAGTAAGTTTTTATCTTTTTTTATGATTTCTACTTTTTCTAAAAGCAAATATTCAAACAGACATTTCTTGATAAATGCTTTTTGTTTAAAAAAAATAGCTTTTTGAGGAAAAAAAATCATTCAAACATGCTCAAAGTCTTCACAATAGTTCAGAATAATCAACGTCACCATCATTTATAAATAATAAATTATACTTTTTTTATTGTTGTGCAAGTATTTACTTTTTTACATATTTTAAAAATTTCCAAACATAAAACATGAATTATTAAAAAGAGTCCAACAATGAGAATTGAACCAATTTTGTGAAATATTATAAAGTTAAATCTTTTTTTTTTTCCTATTTGGTAAACCAAAAGCTTGCAAAAATAATGAAATTCCCTTATTATATAAGATAGAGAGGTTATGGGAAGTCATTGATAATAATGGTGGTGACAAAGATAGGACACAATTTGACTCATCATATCGAAATGTGTGATGGAGTGGCAGAACCATCATCCATGAGTAAGAGAGAGCAATGGCAACCAATCCATCTACAAAAGGGAATGTGACTCTGCAACTCGCTACAGCAGCTACTTGGCTTCTGATAGGCCTTACACATTTTGTTTAGAACATCAACAATTTAAGCAAATTATGTAGGAGATAAAGAGAGACATAAAAAATTAAAATAAAAAATAAATAAACATTACCAAGCACATGGATCAATTAATACATGATTGTTTCAATTTAAGGAGTCATTTCGAGTTCTAATTTTGAATACCTAAATATTTTTTGGAATAGAATATTGGGTTCGCTTTTTCTACTGTTAATGTAGATAACTTATTTACATTGAGTCCAAAACGACGTCGTTTTGAGGCGGAAATCAAGGTATTTTTGTAATTATAATTTATTTCAGGGTTATAATAGTCTTTTTCATTATAACTTTTTAATTTTTCAACCCAAAATGACGTCGTTTTGAGAGCGAATGTAAATAACTTATCTACATTCACTTTAGAAACATTAAAGCCTATAATACTATACATTTTTTTTCATATTTACTTTACTTACTTCTTTTTTTTAACACGTACCATTAGATCACAATCTTAACTGACTTTCATATTTTTTTCTCTCTTCTTGATATTGTGATCTAACGATGTTGAAGAAAAATAAGTAAGATAGACATAAAAAAAAGGGTAATACTTTTCTTATGTTGCATAAGAAAAGTACTATCTCCTACTCAAACAATAAATAAGAGAGAGAAAAGAGTTAGAGATGAGAGAGAAAAATTCTTGTGGGACCCATTTAAAAAATGTGAGTGTAGGAGATAATACTTTTCTTATGTAACATAAGAAAAATATTACCCTAAAAAAAAAGTAGCCATAATATCATATTTCATTATTTGTTACATAAGAGAAATTTCATAAGAACAAATAATTGATAGAATATCTAATTGAACAGAGCTAAACATGAAGCTTAATCTTCATTCATTGTAAGCCATTGGACATATCTCATACTTCGTATGTAGATGACGACTCCTATTGGCGGGACGCAGAGAAAGCCAACCGGGTTCCGCTCCTCGATGAGCGGGTGAGGGTCCGAGGGAGCCTCCCCAAGACTATGGAGGTCGGATACTTAGTAGTTTGGGTACTGATGTAGCTCATAAATAGCTATGGTTGGATTTTCAATCCTATTTATATTTCCTTTATAAACTGAGTAACTTGTAACTGTTGGAATTTGTATAGACAATCTATTGGTTACGAATAAGAGGTGAGTTAAGAAAGAAAAGAGAAAAGGAAAGCTGAAGGGGTGTGTGGGTTTAAGAAGTCTCACATTGAACAACTAGTAGGAGGTGAAAGAGTTTATAAGTTCCCACCTCACACTCCTAAATTGTCCCTTGATGCACTACACTTTTGTGGAGGGGAGAGGAGTTAGGTGGCTTTCGGTCCACCACACACGTATGCCGCCGCCACCGTTCGGCCGACTCAGTCCGGTGTGTGTGTGAAACAAAAATGATTTTTTATTAAAATATTTTTTAATTTTTTGTTCAAAATGCCCATGTGTCTATCCGTTGTTTCCCTCTAGTTTCTTCAAACCCAAATGTTTCTTCCCGTCAGTTTTTTTGAACGTTTTGAACCGAACCGGTCACCGGACGTACCTGCTCGCGGCCATTAGTCACAGCAATTCGCCGCCGGCAGCGATTCATCGTGACGGTCAGTATCTAAAAATAGAACCTGACCCTTTTAGAAATTTCATCCAATTTTTTGCAGTGCAGTAACAAATGTCGTTAAGAAAAATATAGTACATATTACTGAAATCCAAATTGGATCAACCAAGCTAAATAATTTCTCACTTTTCTTCCATTTCTTTCTTTCTGATATTGATCGTGTGTGTGTGATTGTGTCGGTTTCAACACATGTTATGGGAGAGAAAACATGTTAAGCTCACCATTCTGATTCATATTCTTTTAACTTTTCCATGATAGCTTTAAACTCAGTCATAGTGGTGTCCCTCACAGATTCCCTAACCTAATCTCCTTGGCCTTCCATTGTTATATAAAGTTTTTCCATAAAATGCATCACACAACTTCTATGATGCACACTAGGCATCACTTCCTGCGTTTAGGAAATAAACCTTTTAACAAAAGGGTCACTTATTGCCTTCCACCAATTCTTTGGCCTTTTTAAGTCCTCTGTAGATCTTTTTCCCATTCAAGTACCTTATATAGTGAATAATAAAGAGTACTCACTATTTCCTTACTCTTTCTTACTCACATTGTCTCCTTTCTCACTTCACTCCCAGTCCCTTATTCTTAAGATCATTACTTTATGAATTTTAATTTTACATATCATTCTCACTCTCAACTCAAGATGGCAAGCTACTCGAGTAGTGATAAAATTGTTTTTCGTGACCAAAAAATTACAATTTAAATATAAGAAACAGTCTCTTTACAAATATATAGAATGATTATCCTCATTAGTCGCAATTTAGTGAGAAGTGTTGTTATTTTTATTTTATTTTTTGTCAATCTCAACTCCTACCATTTGTTCTAATATAGGACAGTAAAGATTCCTATATTTAACGAAGTATAAAACATTTAATTAAAACCATTATCCTCATTAATAGTCCTTAAACATGATTAAAGGCCAAGGTGATCCAAGTACACACAAGAGTAATTTACATAAACATGGTAATCAAGCTCCTTAAATGAAGTTTCTATGTCATGTAATGCCACCAAGTTTACATCTATGTATGGCATTTTATCTACATTCCCATTTATATAAGAAAGCACCCTGTGGGTCTCTTAACAAACTTGACCCCTTGTGATGAAACACAATGTGAATGTATTTAGCCATATGTAAACATATATTATACACAAAAACAAAATCAAACATTAGTTAAATAATTCACTCCCGCACACAATAATCAACATCACTCACCACTATAACTATTCTTAGACATACCCATGAACATAGGGTCCATCATTAATTAACAAAGATACACATAAAAGGATCACACACCATTTTTCAAACTGCATAATAAATTTTTCATAGCAAATGGAGATATTTCTTAGTTTTTTCACCTTAAACAAAGCCTAGGTGATTTTCAATAATCACATAAATTACAAGTGACATTTTATTTAAATTAAGTTAATCTATATCGAAGATTTTATTTTATTTTTGGTGTCCGTCTTACTGTTAAGTTTTAAACCTCGAAAGTGAACACAAGTTATAAAGGAAGTGCTATTTTTTTTGGTTTTTTCTTTTTTGTTCTTTTTTTTTCATTTGATTTTAATTTTTTTTTTTATATATAGAAATCAAATCAAGGAATGCACCCCGGGCACAGCAGGAAAGAGGGCACCGGAGACGAAAAAAAAAAGTTGGAAAACTGAGAAACAGAAACAAAAAAGTTCGATCAATTTAGGGTTAGGGTTAGGGTTTTTCTACGCCTCAAACACAATCGCTAACAACCAATTCAGATTCACCAAATCGGAGAAACATCTCATCACTGCTTCGCTAGGTTTTTCCAACTCCCAAACTTGTATGAATCAATTTACATGTTTTCTCGTGAAATCTTGAACTGGGCAGCAACTTTTGTGCATGTATGTGATTCAGTATAGTTGTGAATGATTGTTCTGAAAATCCTTCAGTTCTCTCTGTTTTCGCCCCAAAAATTCAATTTTTTTTCCCTTGGGAATTTGAAATTATGCTGAATATGCTATGCTGTGCCCACTTGTGTTGGATGTGTTGATAAATTATATAACTTTTGAATCTGTGCATTGTGTTTGTATGATTGTGTTGATGTGGTTTTAGCTTCACAAGGATTAAGATATTGTCACTTGTGGTTTCAAAACCGGGGATAGAAAAAAGGGGTGGCATCAAAAGACTCAAAACAGTGGAAATGAGAGGGGAATAAATAGATGAGTAGAAATGAGTAGGTTGTCTTTCAGGCCTCGACCACTTGACATTCACAAGAAGCTCCCCATTGTCAAGTCCATCAAGGACTTTGAAGATGATGAGGCACCCGCATCTACCCGTAATTCGCAATTGCTACGTGTTGTTCCTGAGGTTGAAAATGAGGTATGAGCTCTTCCTGGTGTTATGTTAATGCACCATGTTTCCCAGTTATTCTGTTTGATAACTTTTTGGTGTATGCCGCTGTGTTGGCTTGTTTAAATCTCGATATTTTTGGATTATCTGTATCAGTGTTCTAATAGTTACCAGCTATATGCTAGATTGTAGTTAGCATCAATGTGATGGCTGTTATACTATATCTCACAAGACCTTCACTTGCACAATAAGAAAGATGCACACCATGTTAACATGCACGATTGTTATTTTAATATACTGAGTCATGATTACCTCAATAGCTTCTATGATAAATAACTAATAAATATTGTGCAGAATAGAAGCCTTGATAGTTGAAATTTCAAATATTCAGAAGTAATCATGGATGTTGCTCCTCTATAAATAAATTAACAGTAGGAAAGAAACCAGTTGATAAGGTATTTGTTATAGAAATATTGTAAATTTTATCAGTAATTTCTATTTATTTTTCTCAGGTACATCAAGCTCCCAGCAAGAAATTGGCTGCTGAAATACCTACTCCTCAGTATGTTGTTGTGGATACATACGAAAGGGACTATTCTTGCACTTTCTCTCAACCAACTTCCTATTTGCGGGCTAGAGGAGGTACCTGCACTACATAGATCATTTAGTTATATTAGAAATAATTTTGGAAGGTTCTTTTGTAAATTTCAATTCTTGCACTGTAAGTTCTTTCATTTGTTGCAGCTCGGGCTGAGATTGGAGAGTTTGTTGAGTATGACTTGGACAATGAAGATGAGGATTGGCTTTCAGAGTTTAATGAAGAAAGGAAGATTCTGACACCTGAAATGTAACGTTTTAGACTGAATTCTGGCTTTGTTGTTTCAGATAATTTATTTATTTCTGGTTGCTAGAGGTTGGTTTCAGTTTAATGGTTTTTATCTCTATATATATATATATATATATATATGCTGTTTTGTTTTCATTTTTTTATGTTCTAAGCTATGTTTTCCAGACTGCTTGAAATGAATGTGGTACTATTGATCATGGTTTGGTCAAATTATTTAACTATTATTTTTGTGACAGTAAATTAGCTTTTATTATATTGAATAATAGAAATTAATAAGTAGATTTTGAATTTAGAATCAAAATAGCATTATTTTAAAGAAAATCAACAAAATATGGATCCTACACATAGAAAGTGGTTGTTCTAGACTTCCAACAGAATGTTTTGTCAGTGTTATAAAGTGGTTTATATTTAATTTTGGGTTTGGCCTGACATGTGACTGTCCTGAAAACCTTTTGGTGCAACCCAAAAGGATTTTTCATTTGGTTTGAGTCAGTCTTCTATTCCATTGAATTTTTGTTTGTTTGCCACATCTTTTCATATCATCCTGTAATGGTAGTATAAGCTCTGCATTACATATGCTGTTGTCTTTTTCTTCCAGTTTTCATTTAAAATGTTTGGTGAATAGGTTTGAGAGTCTTATTTTCAAGTTGGAGGTATTGGATCATAAAGCTCGTGAAAGAGCTGGACTTATCACACCTACTCTTGGTTCACCAATTCCTGTGCAATTGCGGCTTGATACTGCTATTGAGGTAAAAATTTACGGTGTCTTTGCGTGTTAAAAATCCATCTTTCCAATCCCTTTTTTTCCTATGTTGCAGACAGCCCCTTTTAATCTTTTTTCCCTATATTTTTATTTCCTATATTTATTTATTTTCTTATGTTTTATTTATTTCTTTTTTATTTTTCTTTTCCCTCAATTTTTTCTTGCTTTTTGTTTGGGTTTATTGACTGTCAACTCCAATTTGTTTGGAATGAAGAGGATATTGATGGTGATGTATGTTGGTTGGTCTAGCTGCTAGATTTTATTAAGTTTAATTAATGCTTAATTATTTTGTACTTGGTTTACTAAGAACATGCACTTTTCCTTTGGCACTTGAACGATTGGTCATTAGTGTATGAGCTGGGAAAGATGTATTTCATGTTAATGGTTCTAGCTATAGTATTCTAAAAAAATTACTTGCAATTTGTCCGGAGATGATGGCATGAACATAGTTTAATCAAACCTTTTTAAAAGTTCTTTTTCAAATGTGCACATGGAAAACCTCACTTGATGAAGTTATCATTAGACCTCCGAGAAATCAAATTTATGAGAGCAAGAGTGATATTTTAAAATAAGTTATGCAATGTAATCAGAAAAGGGTGGTATTTTGAAAAAAAAGCTGGTACTACAAGTCCAGGTTCCAGAAATATATAAAACCTAGCCTTCACAGATTTTTAGTATGAAATAATGAATGAACTTGAATGGCTATATGTTTCAAGGAAAAGATCCTTTATATTTTGAAAATCCTAAATGCATATGGAGTGGCAATGGTCTAACTCTTGAACACTTGGCTGATGGGGCTTTGATGCCTTGTTAAGAACCAACTCTCTTAAGACTTTATTTCTTAACAGTTTTTAAACCTGTACATGTAATGAATAAATAGTATTGAGAAAACATTTTGACATGTAAGCTGACTGGGTTCTTTTTGTTAGAGAATTGCATAGTAATTTTCAAACCTAAAATCTCAACACTACCCTAAAGGTGGATCATGGAAATTTCCTTTAATCTAGTGTTTGCCTTCTAAGGATCTGAGTGTAACGTTGAACAGTTTTATGCCAATGATGAACTGAGATATAGTTTTTGAGGGTTAACATTTGATTCATGAATATATATTGGGATTAGTGTTTGTCCTTTTAAAGAATGTTTAATTATGTCATTTTAATTAAAACTACTGTGTTTTATGGTGAGAGAAACATAAATCATGGTTGGAGAAAGTGAGATTTTTTTAAATTTAAATATTAAATAAAAAACACTAGTTTTAACTAAAATGACTTTCCTTTAAAAGGACAAACATTTTTCCCCCATTTATTTGTACCGTTTTTCTTGTTAGATGAAAAACTTTGAATATTTCAGCAGTCTTTTGCCACCTGATGATGCCAGTGAAGAATTGGTTTTCTCCAAAGATTTCCTTATTTAGGTTATTATTATTATTATTATTGATAACATAGGAGCATCTTTAAAATTTCAGAATGCATTTCATATCATTGTCCTGCAATACAAATATTACTCTGCATTTGTTTTGTGTATGATTCTTATTGGGCTTATCGAAAGTTGTTTTTTTTAAATGTTAGGCCTTACAAGCGCAGACCATCAAATATACAGTTATTAAGTCTGTGTATGATTATTGGAAAGAGAAGGTATGGCATCAGCATCAAACTATCAGTTATGAGGGACATGCCTCCTTTATTTATCAATTTAGATTTCTGAATGACTTTCAATAATTTCCTTCATTATGAGATCTGGAAATTGTACCAGTGCTTGGTAATATATTAACATTGACATGACTAAATATGGATGCTGATGGGTGGAGGGATGTATTGAGACTGCTAGAATATATCTCACACTTCACTAGCCTAAAGAAGGAGAGGATTACAATAAAGTTTCATTTAGGAGTTGGAAGAGGTTATGATGAATTTAAATTATCTTCCACTGATCTATGCTAGTGTTTTCTCTGATAATTTTGTGTTTGTCCCACTCTGAATTCAACAAGACCAACAAAGGCTTTTTTCCTACTAGGTAGGGTTGGGTTACATGAATCAAAAGATTCCTTTGTCTTATGTTATAAACAAAGCCTTCAGAAAGGCCATTTAGATACCTAAGTCTAATGATTTCCCTTTTTTCTTGGTCTCCGTCTAACTCTAATTATTGGGCTGTCCTCCATTTGGTCAACTCTTATTATTAGGGCTTCTTCTCACATGACCATACCATCTTAGGAGGCGAGATTCTACCATCTTTTGCCCAATAGGTGCTACCCCTGCTTTCTCTCTAATGCATTTATTCCAAATTTTGTCTTTTATTTCCACTCATCCACCAGAACATTCTTATTTCCAACACTTAGCTTATGTTCTTGTTGGCTTTCTACTGCCCAACATTCATACCTTAAAGCATTGTCAATTTTATGGCTGTGCAGTAAAATTTTCCTTTAGTTTGAGAGGCACCTTTCAATCACAAATAACACCTAAAGCATTTCTCCATTTCATCCACCTAGCTTGAATCCTATGTTTTACATCTATTTTTTCTATCACTTTAAATGATAGATCCAAGATACCTATACAGTACTATGAGTTCATATTATCCCCCTATGAGTTCATATTATCTAAATTATAATTGATTGTAATTTGCTATTTGCTTTTATTAGTCAGTATTTACCAAAAATATTGATGCTTTTTTCTCCCTTGTTTGCCATGTTTTGGGGGGCAGCGAGAACGGTGGCAAAAGCCCATTTTGCGACGTTTGCAGGTTAGTTTTCAGAACATTACAATTAATATGTTCTTTGTCACTGATATAATAGTGTATTTGTATTTGAAGTCAAATTTAAATATATTAGATGAGATTTATCAGTTCTATTGCTCAATTCAGCTACAATACCTTTGACCGATTTGTTTAGAGTTGTATAATTTTCTTTTTCAGCCTTTTCTTGTAGTTTTGCATAATTAGCCATGACATGATGTCAAACTTTGATACGGGATTATAGTTGAATCTAGTATTGTTTACTGGTTTATTTAGGCATTGTTTGACAAGATGAACTGTATTTTGCATACAGCCGCCTCCGCCTGTTAACGACACCAACCCCTACAATGTCTTTCGGCCAAGGGAGAAGGCCCACAGGCTTCACACAAGAAGGGTAGGTGGAAAACTTGGCTCATGTTTTCATTATACCTCAGTTTTGGGTAAATGCTTTTTCCTCTAAGGCATCAATTTATGGAAATTTGTGCATGATTTTTTGTTTACTAAGCCATTATTATTTTTCTATTCAGATGCAAAGGAGAGAAAACAATGTGCAGTCATTTGAAAAGCTTCGCCAGGTTAGCTCCTCTAATTGATTCTGAATTGCTGATTATTAGGCATCTGTTGGATTTAGTAAAACTGAGCTTGAAGCTTCTCTTTCGAGGGCCTGCAGTTCAGTGTGGAGTAGTGGTTCTATGAACTTGTGGTTTTCCATTGCATTGTGGATTCTTATTTCTATGAAAGTGAATGTTAGAGATTTAAAGGATTGGTATAGGTCTATTCCTCTATTTATTGTCGCAGAGAATACCGAGTTTCTTGACATACATTTTGATGCATACTCCCTGTGGTTCTAAACTAGCTTCTTCTGACATACTTACAGAAATCTGTGTTCTTGATATGCTATAATTGTCTATTTGTGTTGATTGTTAATATTATTTCCTCACCTGGGAATTTATACTCATACTAGACTCCTAATCCTAATTAAATGAAGAAACATCATGAAATATAAGAAAATATAGAAATTAATACTAAGAGATCATCTAATATACATATTTTATGATAGAATAATGATACGATTAGATATTTTTCAGATATTCTAACAACATTCTAATTATTTCTAATTATATGTGTGACTCTTAACTGTCTGCTAAAACAGAATTGGGTCCCTGTTCCCATCTCCCCTTTCTAATTATATGAGTTTCTTAGTTTAATCTATTGCTAATGCAATAGATGGTGCTACTATTCTGCATATAATTGTCAGTTTAAATGAAAAATGGTTTGATTTGAATTCATTTCCATTTTTTTTTTCAAGGTGTAGTGTTAGTTGCCTTAACGTAGAAGCAATATATTAAATTATATGATTTGCATGGTTGTGTAGTTGTGAAATGTTGGTAATAATTGTGTCTGAAGAAATATGTGAATAGCAGGATTTCTTTCCTTTCAAATTGGAATGTTTCATGTGTAATATATATTACCTGAAAATTTAATGAAATCTCTTCATAAACAGGTTAGGCGCAACCTTGACCAAGCTAAGAGCTTGTTGGAAGCTTTGATCAAGGTGTGACTTTCAAGTTATGTCTTGAGTAGTTGAGTCTTTTACCCTATTTATATCCCCTTTTTGTACTCATACTTGTGTTGATATACAATCATAACCAGAGGGAAGAGAAAAAAAGAGAAGTAATGGAGAGTGAAGTTACACTCCAGAGGATGCAAATGAAGTACAAGGTATGTCTATCCTTTTGTATATTTTGTTGAATGTATTGAACTTAGTGTTTATTCTTGCATCTGGTTGGAATCTTGGCCTGATTGCGTCTATCATTTGTATGGGTTAGAATACAAAACCTATTCAAATATATTTGAGACCTCAGTAAGAAGGGTGAAGAAAGAAAAGTAAGAATTTGTATGAAACTGTGTGCTATTTTATGCACCTTGTTGGATCAATTTTATCCCTCTTAGAAACTTATAAGTGGTGTGGACTGTGGACTTTATTTTTTTTTTTATTTACTGGGTCATAGAATGCATTGTGAAGTAGTTTTGTTTGAACTTATGAACTGATGTATAATTCTCTATTTCAGCATGAAACTGAATTTTTGGAAGACAACTTGGCACTCTCTGGATTTACTCCCTTCACTTCCAAGTTTGTTTCAAGTGAAGAGGAATATTTTGATTCAGATGATGTCATGACAAACCGTCATCCTCGTGCACGTTCCACTGCAGTACATAGTCTTCCTTCCTATGACACCAACCTGCCCATGGTTCCTTCAGTTAGTACAAAGCAGGAGTTTAAGAGGAGATATGTCCCTCATGGATGGCCTCATAAATTGGTAATTTAATACATACATCTATATCTATCTATCTATCCATCACACACACACACACACACACACACACATATATATATATATCTTAAGGTATATATATATATCTTAAGGGATATGATCAATTTACAACACTGTAAGAATAAAAAATCTTATACCTAATCTTAATCGTTGATCTATGTGCATGTGACGGTTATAATTTATTGAGAATTAGTAATTAAGTAATCAATATAACTTAATAAATTATAGCTGGTTAGATACACGTAGATCAATGGCTAAGATTGACTACAAGAATAACAAGTCTTGCACTCAATTTTAGCCGTTGATCTCACTTGCATCTAACGTTTCACATGACTAATAAATTAGAGCCATTGATGTAAGTGGGATCAATAGATAATAAAGGATATAAGACTTGTTATTGTAAGTTGATCCTTCTCCTAGGAGATATCATAAAAGCATGGCTGAGGAAGAGGATATTAAAATAAATGAGCAATATATATTGCTCATTTATTTTAATATCCTCTTCCTTAGCCATGCTTTTATGATATCTCCTTCCTTGTGTGAGAGATGATTCCTCATGTGGATTTTTAATATTTTATATTATTCCTCTTTGCAATTATGCAAGGGTAAGGCTGCGTACAAGGATTTCCTTCACCCCACACTCGCTAGTCGGGTTTAACGGGGAGTGGTTTTTTTTTTTTTATTTTTTTTTTATTTTTTTTTTTTTATATTACCTTCATAGTTCAATATGTTGTGGTATTATGCAGGATCCGCATGAGCCAGTTTTATTGTTCACAAAACCTCTACTTCCAGATAAGTTGGCCATGGCAGGAATTCTGCCACCAGATTCTGTAACAAAAAATGGGGTGTCAGTGTCAGCACCATCGTATAGATTTCGTGGAAGAATTGGCAGAGGGGGCCGTATAATATTTGACCGATGGAATCCACTTATGCAAACTCCAATTGACTGTGGTAATTCTTATTATATGCCACCAAAACCACGACCTTCAACATGTAACTAATTTTTTATTCTTAATCTGGTGCTGAATTGGTACCTACCCTTTTGGTTAGTATTTAGTTGATGATCATTAGGAAGGTACAATGTTGCAAGGGGAACTTGTAAACATGATTTAGGCCTGCAAGTTTTTGTTTTTGGGGTATAAGCTAGATGCATCTTGTATTGATATATGTTCAAGTGAGTATCTCTTTGCCTTTGCTCATGTAATGGGCTTTTTCACACAAATTAAGAATAATAATATAAAAAATTCTACAAATAAAAACCAAATAATTTCAAGAAGAACATCATCTGTATTTACTCTCAAGTTGACGAGTTTTTCTGGGGTCTTTCTCATTTTTGATATATGCAAATTGAAATCTCATTAAATGGTCACTTGGTTGAGCAATGTAGGGTGCATTATATCAGCTTAACTTAGTGCTCAAATTTAATATATAATAGTATCTTGATTGAAATCATGGTAAATTAATTTTTCAAATATTTTATGTACTGAGATGGTGTGTCTCTAGAGTTAAAAAAATAAGACAGATGAGATTGTACAAACTTGAGTTCCATGAAAACCTCAATGAGAATGTAAATTAATTTGAAGTATGGGAAAGGATTTTGTGGGTATAAATTAAAAACACACACACACAAAATATGAGGTACAAAATCCACATTTTCATATCCAAAAATGACTTTTACTAAGGGTGTCAAATGATGATTGGTCCAATGTTTTATAATTTTGAAATTTGGTGCTTGTCAAAATTGACCCGCCCTAGTTGGTTTGACCGATTGATCCGTAAATTGGACCCGAGCTTGAGCTGGATTCAATCGATGTTAAACCTGCATCAGTTTTATGAAATTTTGATAAAATGCTTGAAAAATACCACCAATAGGGTTTGAATCTAGACCAGATTATAATTTACAACGCTTGTCATTAAACCAACTCTATTTATTAGCTGTAATTCTTCTAATTATATATTTATTATATATATTTAATTCAAGGATTGAACTAATGACTTATTGGTTGAACCGGTGTTCCATTGACCCAATATCTTAGTTTGAGTTTGATAATATTATTTGATGTCGTCTTCATAATAATTTTGAAGCAAGCTACCGTTCTAGAAATAAAGTTACAAGACTTCTAGTAACAATAATTTTGATTTCACATGTTATTTCCATTGAAATTTTTTTGACTTTCTTTAACATCTGAATTTATTTTATTTTAAACACTAAGCTCTTGATAAAACGTTTCACCTATTTACACCCTTATTCATTGAATATGAAGTTGGTAGTTGATAAGCGAGCATGTTGATTATTGAAGTAAACAATCTACAATATCCAATCAATATTTTTAAGTCAATAATTTAATCATACTTGACTTTTATTGTTTTGGTATTGAGATCAATTAGGTAGCTCTAGCTTTAAAGGAATATAACGGCCCAATGTCATTTAATCAATTGAGTCAATTTAAGCTTTTTATTTATTATTTTACTAATAAATTGATATTCCAAAATTTAGTAACAAAATATCGTTTGTGTTTAATTTAAAAAAAAAAAAAAAAACTAGAAAGGAAAGAAGTGTTAAGAATAAGGATGGGCGAGAGGTGGAGAAGAAATGGGGACAAGTGCAGGAAAATGCACTTAAACAGCCTTCCCCAGGTTTTATTTTTATTTATTTATTTATTTATTTTTCCATTTTGTGTTTATTTATATTTTTTATCTGAAAAATGATGTTGCCCGTTGTTTTTTGTTTTTGTTATATGAATTTGTTTTCATTCCTTGCCTTATTTTTCAATGTCATTGAACTCAACTTGATCGAGTTACTACGTTTTAGTGGGTTACGAATTAAATTGTTTGAACCAAATATATATAGGATTAAATCACTTCTCTTTAAACCTCGACAGATAAACAAGAATAGGGATGAGGGCAATCTTTATATACAGTCATAGTGTCTTTATATACAGTCATAGTGTCGTGCCACTACTCTGAGACTCAACCTCCAAATATATATAGGATTATAGAAGTATTATATAACAAACATATAGCTGTGTACATAGGTTGTGCACCCTTTGGTGCCTTTGAACTGACCAAACTGAGAAAAGAGAAACTTGTTTCTAGTAGAGAATGTTGCAAATCGTAGTTATGTATGCAGGGTACAACGTAGTCCTACCAAACTTCTTGCTATGGTTAAGTTTAAGTCCACCTTGATGATGCCATAAAAAAAATTCGATGTAGGACTAGGTTAGGTGGTTTCTTCTATGTTGGGTATCCTTAAGCATTTGATTGTGTTTTCAAGAGGGTGAGTTTGGAGCAATGTTAAACTTTTTCTTACTAGTATTTTTGGCAATTGCTACTTGGTTCTTTCATCCACACTACTTTAACATGCCCATATTGGAAAAATTTGTTTGTTTCCTTTTCTTTTTTTTGGCTTAATTCTTATGTTTGCATGTGACTTCTAGATATCTAGTTTCCATCTAGAAAACTGCATTTCAGAGGCGAATGCTGCTAGGAATCGGTTAGTTAAAAGCTCCTATGATAAGTTATTATAAAATTTCTAAATCCATCATACGGAAAACCATTGCTAGGTCTAAGAATCACAATTTCCTTCTATATATTTATTTTAATATCTTCATCAAGTTCAGTTAATGCCTACATCGTGATATAACTTATGCAAAGCCCCAAGACTCTATGGACTTCTTTAGGAAAAGGTATTCACAAACATTAACATATTGAATAATCTATGGACATTTATGCTAGTAATTGACACTTCGTTATCATTCACAAAAATTTCAGAAAGCTAAATTTTCCATCCACATTAGGCTCATCATTCTTTTCAAATAACCTTGTTCAATCATTCACAAAAAGTGTTGATGTTGATCAGACTAATCATTGTGCTGTAAAATACAAGCAGTTATGAACAGAATTAAATTTGAATCTCATTTACAACTACACAATACAACTACATAGACAACAAATAATTGGTGTTATCAACTACATAGACAACAAATAATCCAAGTCAATCATTTGACTAGGATCATAAAGATCAAAGTCAGAATCAAAGTCCAAGTCCAAGTCTTCATTTAAGATTGAGTCTATTGAGCTTAAATTGGTAAGATGTGAAGCATAACTGCCATCCTGGCTTTGGTCAGCCAACCCCTGAAATGGCACTATATTACTTGTTTGCCTAGGACTATTTGTAACTCCTTGCAAGGGTGTAAAACTCATGTCATCTATAGGACCCATTACAGCCTGCCCAAGAGGTTCAACACCCTCAATCTACAGTAGTTGGTCAAGCCCCCCAGACATTGGTAATCCCTGTGAACCTTCTTGATTACCATAAACTATGGCTGCTTGGAATTGAAGTTGACCATTGGTTGAGTTGCTTAAGTTCTGTGCATGACCCAATTGAAGAGTTGCAGAAGAAGGCAACTCTGGCACATTCAGAGCAGCAAGAGTGTCCAATCTATTAATCATCCCACCAGGAGAAGAGGATCTAAAAAGACTGACATTATTAACTTGCTGGGTTGCCTTAGAGCTGATTCTTTTCAGACGGAGTCTATATTTCTGCAGCAATTGCAAAAACAAATAAAGTTCTATAAATGAAAAGCTTTGGTTTTATGAAATTTAAGGAGAAAGGAAAAGAAAAAAAATACCTGCAGATGGCTGGCCACATGCGCCCTAGTAAGATGCTTCTCTGCGTACATCAATTGAAGAATTTTTCTAGGTACAGCCTCTACAATCAAAAGAACATACAAATGTGTCAGACTTCATTAATAATAATGCCATGACATCTACTACAGTGCACTACAGATTAGGAAGAGTATTTGAGAAAGCATTCAAAATAATGTTGAACAAAAAAATACAGCAATGGGAAAAATACAACAAACATATACTTCAGCGATACAAAAAAAAAACCAGAGTTTTCATAAGAATGGAAAAAGGCATCATTGTTCCATTTTTGGCAGGGAATGGAAGACACAGTTGGGACTTCATGACAAATGGGACCAATTGGGCAGCTTCCAGCTCTCATGAGACCAAATTAATCATCATCGAATTAAGGAAAATTTGAATTTTGATTTGTTCAGTTTTCGAGAGATACCAAATAAGTATATTAGCTTACTCCAAGGAAAGGATTACTGAAATAGAGGAATACATGGGCAGTGGATTTGTTTGTTATTTGGAAATGCACACTGGTATTAACAACGGAGAAGCCATTTTTTATTTTGGTGCAGATTCCAATATTATGACAGAAATTATATATCCAAGTGGGGCTGAGACAGATGTTCGAAAAATTATGGTTGGATTCTAGGCAGTGGATGTGAAGACACCTGTGGAAATAAAGTTTGCAAAGATAGGTGATGGAACTAGTTTTCACATTGTAATAGTATTAGGATTTGATTGCTATTTCTAAACAAATATATAATAAAAGTATTGCTAAAATAAAGCAGAAACATCAAGCGATTGACCAATTGTAGCAATTAATAACAATTAAGATAACAACTACTTTGCATTGTAGAGAAAGAGTGAATAACTTACTGTCAACACCCAAGTCATTAACAGCGGCCACAAAACACCGATGTAGCTCTTCGGTCCAAACAACCCGAGACTGCTTTTGGGTTGATCGGTCCTCTTGGTTAAGACCTTTCTCAAGTTCTTCATAAACTTCATCCTCATCTTCTTCCATCTTCTTAGCTTTTTCATCAACTTCATCCTCATCTTCTTCCATCTTCTCAGCTTTTTCATCATCTTTTCATAAACTTCATCCTCATCTTCTTCCATCTTCTTAGCTTTTTCATCAACTTCATCCTCATCTTCTTCCATCTTCTCAGCTTTTTCATAATCTTCAACCTCATCTTCTTAGCTTTTTCATCAACTTCATCCTCATCTTCTTCCATCTTCTCAGCTTTTTCATAATCTTCATCCTCATCTTCTTCCATCTTCTTAGCTTTTTCATAATCTTCAACCTCATCTTCTTCCATCTTCTTAGAGTTCATCTACTTTCTAAATACATGTTGCCAAACATTTTGCAGCTCTTCAAATCTAAGAGGTTTGACCAGATAATCTGACGCTCCCAGACTGATTGCTTTCTTAACCAGCTTTTTGTCACTGTCTACGGATGACACTGAAATGAAAAATTTAATAATTGAGAGTGATGAAGTAAATAAAAAGTAATTAAATTATATAGAAAGAAAACCACAAAATCAAAACCTCAACAATTGAAAATAATAATAATAAGAATAGTTGAAGATCACATATAAAACTATCACATACATATAACAGGTACGTCCGTAAAAAGGCGGGAGAGCTTAAGCAGCATCAGCCTATCCGTTTCAGCCCAAACCTCTTTTCTTACCACATATCCAGGGCCTTCATTGCATTAGTAGTAGTTGATACTGCAAAATCAATAATTACAATAAATTTTATTCTCTATGAACAAAATGAAACATAAATTGCAAATACAAGCATAACACAGAACAGAACCTTTAACAAGTTCATTAAATGAAATATAAATTGCGAAATAAGCATTACACAAAACCTATAAAAAGTTCATTTAACATATTACCAAGCATAGGAAACTAGTTCCATACTGCATTTGAAGCATCGAACACAACGTTTCACAAACAATATCAAAGAAAGATAAATTTATTAAATAAATTAATTAACCATAGTAGAGATATGATAAAGATATATTACCTTATTAATCAAGGAAATCACAGTCGGTAAAGATCCATAATAGCCATCATCACAGCAAATAATCCAGCAAAGCATAACAGAGAAGGAGCATAGATATAAAACAAGATCAACGATCTTCATCTGACGAGAACTGCAAGGATGATCCATGAACTGGGTTCTATTGCCTCGCGCATGGATCTAAGGGAAACAAGACAACACAATAAATTTAAACAACATAAAAGATGCCTTAAAAAACTGATGAAATCAAAGACGGTGACAGGATCTGAATGAGAGAGAGGGCATGTATGTTTCGTGGAGAGGAGAAGAATGATTGCAGTTTTGGGTTATGCATTGCACATTTGCAGGGCCACACTTGACTTTGATAGACACTACCCTACACTGAGAGCAATGCAATGCAATGGTTGGACTTGGGTCGGGTGTTATTTTCAGCAGCAGCATCTTTGTTTTGTTTTGGGCCCAATCCAATCCAATCTACATCGACGAGGGATTTCTGAATTCTAAATAAATAATATGTTAATTAAAATGTTAATTAATATATCTGATTCTATATATATAGTCTATACTACCTACCGGAGAAGGGAAGGGGATTCCATACTATAATAGCGTCCACTTTTCATCGTTTCAAATTCATCTTTGTTAATTAGTTACTTAATTATGTACCCAAAAAATTATTGATTTAATTATTTAAAAAATATATATAATCAAAATATACAACTTTAAATACATCTTAAAAGGATAAAATATAGTCACTTAATGTTTACCGAATGTGCGAGTGAAATTAATATTACAGGTCAATTATATATGTATGATTTTTATTTTTATTTTCTAATTTCACCATGATCACTTAATATAATTAATTTTTGTATTCTAATTTTAGTTTAAAAAAATCAAATTTCACTTATAACTGATTGGCTTTAATTTAAGTGATGAAATATCTCTTATGTTCTTTAACAAAAGTATATTGATTAGTCTTAATATCCAAATTTTAAATAAATTAATTCAAATCTCAAGCATACTTGTATATTTATTTTCTTTATTTTAACATGAATATTAATTATCATTTACTCTGTGTGTGTGTATATTTTATGATTGTGAATAATATATTTTATTAAAAATTAAAATTTTAAATAACATTGAATTAATAATTATTTTGATCTATTATAAGTAATAAAATATTTATTGAATCTTTTTTCTTGAAAATATAAATTTGAATTCCAATTGTTTGAATATAAATTTATTAAGTACTTTGACTTTTAAAAATTCAAAATTAGCATGTTACAATAATCTGCAGTAGTTTTACGAAAAAATAAAGGGTTTGTTTTTTCTAAAATTACTTTAGATAACTTTATCTAATGTTCATTGAAACGACGTCGTTTTGGGACGGAAATCATGATATTTTTGTAATTTTAATTTATTTCAGGGTTATAATAGTCTTTATCATTCTATTTTTTTAATTTTTCAACTCAAAACGACATACAATTTTTGTCTAATATACACTTTTAATGTTTATTTGGAAGGAAAAAAAAACATCTTTAATATAGCCACAAATAAAATCAAAAAATTATATTTTGTTGTTAGTAGTTTGTGTCTTTTCTCATTATATTAGTAATCACAAATATATTAATTTAGTGATATAATTACCAAATAATATGTTATTTGATACAAAAAGGGATACTTATTTCTTTAATTAAGTTTACCTCTCACAAAAATAATATTTTTAAATTTTTATTCTTAAACAATTGGTTCATTCTCTATAAGAAAAATAAATAAATTTCTTTTATCAATCATAATTTTTAACCATATATAATTCTCAAACTAAGAATTGAATAAAAATTATTTTTGAAAACATTGTGATGCATATCCTACATGGCCCGACAATTATAATAAAAACAGTGGGTCTCTCGATGGACAATGAATTTGATGGATGTGTTAGCTTGGTGTTAGTTTTTTGTTTTATTTTCACTTTTAACTGATAGAATTTTATTAAAATTTTTATAAGTGTTGCTCTATTTTTATTTTATTTCTTATTTTTAAGAATTTGTAAAACAAATATAAAATCTCATTTTCACCATTTTCTATATATACAAAATCTTAAAAACAAAAATAATATCTCTTTTTGTAAGGGCAGTCACTCAATCTATATAGGGCGAGAAGCTCAGAAAACATTATCTATTCTTTTTTTGAATATTATAGGAATTGAACTTGCAACCTAATACACACTACACACACCCAACAGTTAAGCATTATCTATTCTTAACTCATATTGAGTGATTTAATTCTATTAAAGGTTTTATGTTATTTTTATTTCTTCTAGGTAATGTTATTAAAATACCGTATAAATGGGACACTAATTCAACCGATTAATTAAATTTATGTAAATATATATAATAAATATATAAATAGAAGTAATATAATAATTAAAGTTATGTGGCTTAATGGTTAGCATTTTACTCCCCTCTCATTTGGTAACCAGTTTGAATCTCAAGAGGTGAAATATTTGTCACAATTTTAGGAACCAATTCAATAAAAAAATCAATACCAGATTAATATCAGCTGAATTGATTCATCAATTCTTTATCAAGTTACATATATGTTTGGTTAATTGATTCAACCTATGAGACTGACCGGGTCAAGTTAGTTTTTATAAATTGCTTTTTGGATAAGACATAAGTACTATCTTATATATGGACTTGATGAAAGAGCCTCCAGGTCGGGTCAATAAATAGCCTCTTTTTTATAGTGTTGTTAAGGAGGTCTCCTCTTTATTTTTTATTATTCGGGTTAGAAGTGCAACATTACAATAAGGTTGCAAAAAAATTCCTAAAATCAAATTGTTAAATTTTTTAAATTCTTGTAAATACAAATTTGTAAATAAGTGCAACATAAGTACTATCTTTTATTATTAAATTCCTAAATCTGATTTTAATTTTTGTAAATACAAATTTGTAAAAATCAAAAATACTAATGACACAAATCCTTGCAAAAAAATAATTATTTACATAAAATGCTATAGTTAAAGGTTGCACAGTATTTACAAGGAATATATGCTACTGGCAAAGGGAAGCGCGTGAGCGCGTGAGGGAGATTTTTGTGCTCTGATAGGGTTTCGTGACTTTTTCGTCTCAAATCCAAGCGATGATGTTAGGAAGAGGGGGTAGACCCCCTGATTCGGAGGAGGAGGTTGCTAATGACAGAGATACCAAGAAGGCTAAGGGAGAGGAAACGGTGGATCTGGTCATGCTTGATCCGAACCTGGTAGCGGGCGCTACGGAGGAGGAGATGTTGACGGAGACCAGTAATGGAGGTCCTGAGATGCGGGGGAAGGAAGAAGGTTTTCACAGGGATCCTAGGAAACTGGTTTCGTATAAGGACCAGCTTCTTCGGGTGAACGGAGTGTGGGATGATCGGCATGTTGATGAGGAAGATGATTGGTTGGCTCAGAGCAGACGCGATGAATTGGATGAAGAGGAGGCGTTCAAAGCGTACGAGCAATCGCAAGAGGATGACCCATTGAACCCTTTCTACCAGTTTGATATTCTGGAGAAAGTGGAGCAATGCAAAAAGTGGAGAATGGCTCTTATCGTGAAGTTGATGGGAAAGAGGTTGGGGGCTAGATTCCTTTGGAACAGATTACACAAGTTGTGGAATCTGGAAGGGGAGTATAGAGTCTTGGATTTGGAGAATGACCATTTCATGGTGGAGTTCGAGAAAATGCAAGACTACTTGTTTGTTCAACAACAGGGGCCTTGGATTGTTGCTGACCACTACTTAATAGTGCAGAGATGGAGACCGAATTTCGACCCATATGATGATGGTGTCAAGAAATTAGCGGTGTGGATTAGAATCCCAGGGGTGCCTCGAGAGTTTTATACGTATAAGGATCTTTGGAGGATGGGGAATATGGTGGGCAGAACCTTACGGATTGATGCAAGTTCTTTGAGGCATAGTGGATTGGAGCAGCAAGAGGAGATCACTGATCGAGGTAAGTTTGCCCGTATTTGTGTTGAAGTTGATTTAAGTAAGAGCTTGCTATCTAAATTTAGAATTGGGCGTAGGCAACTGTTTATTGGCTATGAGGGGCTTCACCTCATATGTTTTTGTTGTGGGCAGTATGGCCATAAAAAAGATCATTGTATGTTTAACCCTGAAAATCTGAGGAAATCTGAGGAGGGTCAGGTTCCTAATGATGATCCAAGTGGTGGGGTGATGGATAATAGACAGGAGGTGGAGAAAAGCCAGGAGGAACATGGTTTTGGCAACTGGATGACCATCCAGAGGAATAATAAAAACAGGAAGGGTTCTCAACAACAAAAACCCAAGGTAGTAAGTCCAGGAAAGGGTAAACAGGAGGGTGTTGGTCTTGGTCAGGACTCTAAAAAGGAAATTTCAGGTTCGAGGTTTTCAATGCTAGGAGACTTAAAGGATGATGGGAATTCGGGTTTGGTGTTGCAAAATGATGAGGCAAAACAGGGGGGTTCAGGGTTACCTAAGGGAAGTGGTTCTAGTAGTAAAGGATCAGAGACAAGAAGGAGAAAGGGGAGTCCTGGGGGAAATGGAAAGTCAAGCACCCAACAACCCTCTGTCCACATGGAGTCTATAAAAAAGAATTCTGTGGGTAAGGGAAATGGGCTTAGCTTGATGCAAGGAAATGTTAAAAGCCTGAGAGAAGCTATTCTGGTTAAGAAAACTGGTTTGAATAAGGCTGCTGTCAAAGGGGATATAGGCCAGGGGGTCTTGATGGAGGGAGGTAAATCACTAGATGTTGGGAATGGGTCTGGACAAGGGGTCATTCTGAAGGATAAACCACCGGATGTTTGTATTGAGGGGATAAGGGTGGATAAAATGAGTAAGGATCCTATGATCCTGGATGATATCACCAATTTTGGTGATGTGCAGAAACCTAAGGTTATAGGTTGATTTTGGAGCTTCATTTGGCTCTTTGTTACTGTTTTAATTTGTTTGCTATGATAGTGTGTTCGTGGAATTGCCGTGGAGCAGGAAAAAAGGGCTTTTCCTCTCTAATCAAAGATTTGGTTTACCAAAATAACATTCAGGTTCTGGCTCTGCTAGAAACTAGAGTGAGTGGTGGGAGGGCTGATAAAATTGTTCGAAATTTGGGGTTTGATAGTTACTTTAGGAGAGAGGCAACTGGATTTTCTGGTGGAATCTGGTTACTTTGGAATAAAAGTGTGGTTGATGTGTCTGTTTTGTTGGATGAGCACCAATTTGTCCATTCGAGACTTTGCTGGATGGAGAATGGGAAGGAGGAATTTTTCACCTTTGTTTATGGGAGCCCTAGATGGATGGAGAGAAGGAGCCTTTGGGGGAGTCTTAGA